TGTGCTAAGTTATTTGCCTCTTGAAGTGTGGGGATGGGGGAAGGGATGACTGGTGGTTCGCTGGTTTTGTGTTGTGGGTTGGATTGCTGTGGAGTGTGTTTCTGACGTTTGTTGGTTTGGAAAGGTGGGAAGAGGCGATGCGATTATGGTGTGTTTTGGGGGTTTGCGGGTGGGGGGAGGGTCATATTACTTGAGCCTTTGGAGGGTTCTGTGGTGGTGGTGGTGGTTGTGTTGAGGAAGGAGAGGAGGAGGCGGAGGAGGAGGAGATTTAGATGTCAATCCATCAATGCAGCGAAGTGGCTGGTGGATGCATGGAACTGGAGTGTTTACATACAGTAGGTGGGTGGGTAGGAGAATTGTCAAGAATAGCCCAGGCTGTTGATCGGACTGTTACCCAATCACTCCACTTGCGGACAAGGAACAGGGAATAGGCTCCTCCACTATCAACAATTGTACATAGTAAAAGGCTGCCTGGCCTGGACTGGACTGGTGGACTCTCTGGAGGAGACGAGGCATTTGTTTCGTTCTCCATCGGGACATGGACATGGACATGTACCATACGGCCCGGCCGTACTTGCGGGTACTGTAATTGTTCGGGGTCTGACGGACACATCGCTGAGATCGACGCTTGCTTGCTCTCAAGTGCGAGGGTTTGATCCGATGGCGTACCAGATGACCATTGCTAATTGAAGTTTTTGTTCTTGTTATCTTCTTGTCTATCTCGAATGTGAATAAGTCATGCCTGACCACCTCCTGATCGCAGACCTGCCATCTGACCCGGTAATAACAGTGACTGAACTGTCACAGACTAAGTGGGGCGAGCTAATCGCTAATCGATAAGTGAGAATCCGTCCACACCCACCGATAAGAGAAACACTCTCAGTCTCTCTCCCACACACACCTGTGGGGTAAGAATGGAGGGTATGGGTTTGTCGACCAGTGCTATTCGCAGCCTTATCATTGTTCGACTCCTTTCTGTTTGTCACAGCCACTCCCTCTGAGCAATTATATTTCGGTCAACATTAAAGATCCATGTGGCTCGCCCTTTCTGTCGGCTGACCAGGCACCTTACGTGATTCTATAGTCGGGATTGACAATCTTCCTTCTCTTTCTCTCCTGTCTTCTTGTCTCTGACACACTACAAACGAACAGTAATTTACTGCTCACTATTTTTCCTACTCGTACTTACTTACGACGGAGTGTATCCTACAAGATCCGATCGATTCCTCCTGTATCCTCTCTCCCTTTCTTCCCTTTCTTCCCTCCCCTCCCGCCCCTCCCCTCCCCGCCCTCCTACAAACTTCGCTCCAGTCAACTCAACGCAAGACTTCCGGTTGCGTTGACACTTACTTTCCTCCTGAATCATTGTGGATGATGCTTGCGTGACGTCCACAACTGAACTCAACTGGTCGCTCTCCTGACTTTTCGGTCGCAGGCCAGTCTGGTGCTGGCTCTTGCTTCGGGCCCCCGGGTTACGCGGTCGTCAAGTCCCATGGTACAATCGAAACGACAACCTTCAACTCGACAACCCACCTCCACCTTCCCGTCGCTTGCTGCTGCTGCTCTGCTGCTCAGGTGATCCCATCCCCCTTCCATCTTCTTTCTCTTTCTCAACCCGAGCAATCAGCTTGTCCATCCGCAGGAACGGAGGTTTGGCGTTTTTTCTGCTCCTCGGGGCGTGTCTACCATCGCGGTTATCGCCAATCGATAAGATAACCTTCTCACGGACCGGCTGGCTGGAGTCATTATGAGCATTTAGGATTCCTTCTTCTTTCTGGCATTTTGCGTTCTGGCGCTGAAAAGCTTCGATCGTTCATACCGTTGCGTCACCACATTGATCTAGGACCTCCCTCGATTGAGGACGAGAAGTATTCCGCAAAGAGCCCTAAAGCGCATTGCCGTCATGGCCACCGCAACCCCCGACGACATCAGATCGACGTCTGGGAGCCCTTCGCCTTCGAGTCCGGCTTCGTCGACTGGTCAGATCCCACTGGAACAACCACCGAAACTCAAGGGTCGTCATAAATTGCTTCAAAACCTCCAACGCATCTCGTCCAGCCCGAGTCTGACCAGGCGCGGCCGATCCGCTTCCACGGGATATCGCCGCGATGGAAAGGCCTCCCTATCCTGCATCTCGCTCTCGCAAACGGCCTATTCACCTTGCTTGGGCAATGGGAGTTCATCGCAACTGTACGGTGGGCTCAATGCTCAGTCTGTGACCCCCGGGGCCACTGCCCCTCAGACCGACTATTTCGACGGTGCTGCTCGCATCCGCATGGTTCCCTCTGAATCTCCCAATGCTTCTCAATCGAAGACAATCCCTCTGCCTCAAGACCTGCGACCTGGTTCCCATGGATTGGCGATCAGCATGGCAGACGTCACGAGTGAAGCTACCGTTGCCCAGCCGTCACCGAAACCGAAGGTTTTCGACTTCTGGGGTAGTTTGCCGGACGAACTCAAGATGCGCGTTTTCCGGTACCTCAATCCAAGAGAGATTGTCCGCTGTTCCGCGGTCTCCAAGGCGTGGAATAAGATGTGCTACGATGGGCAGCTCTGGAGGGAAGTCGACACAACGGACTATTACCGCGACATTCCTAGCGAAGGTCTTGTGAAACTGATGACTTCTGGGGGTCCATTCGTTCGGGATCTGAACTTGCGAGGCTGTGTTCAGCTCAAGGACCAATGGCGGACGGATGGTGAACGAATCACCGATCTATGTCGAAATGTGGTCAATTTCTCCCTGGAAGGATGCCGTGTAGACAAGTCCACGATCCACTATTTCTTGCTGCGGAACCCCCGTCTAGAATACGTCAACCTGTCAGGACTACTCACCGTCACCAACTCCGCCATGAAGATAATTGCCCAATCATGTCCGCAGTTGGAGATCCTCAATGTCTCTTGGTGCACTGGTGTTGATACCTCTGGGCTGAAGAAAGTGGTGGTTGCCTGTCCGAAGTTGAGGGATCTGCGAGCCAGCGAGATCCGTGGTTTCGACGATGTCGAGTTTGCTGCGGAGTTATTCGAGCGAAACACCCTGGATCGTTTGATAATCAGCCGGGCTGACCTTACCGACGAGAGTTTGAAGGCTCTAATGCATGGCCTTGACCCGGAAATAGACGTGTTGCTGGATCGCCCGATTGTCCCTCCTCGACGACTCAAGCATCTGGATATTCACCAGTGTCCCGATCTCACCGACCAGGGTGTGAAGAGTCTTGCCTGGAACGTGCCCAACATGCAGGGACTGCAGCTCTCCCACTGCTCCGAGCTCACTGATGACTCCGTTATCCCTATCATTCAGACAACCCCTTGTCTTACTCACCTTGAACTCGAAGAGCTGACTCGGCTCTCCAACCATACCCTCATCGAGCTTGCCAAGTCGCCATGCGCTCCTCGTCTCGAGCATCTTAACATCAGCTACTGCGAACTTCTTGGTGACCAGGGAACCCTTCCGATCATGAAGAACTGCCTCTCGCTTCGCTCCGTTGAGATGGACAACACCCGAGTGTCTGATCTGACTCTGATGGAAGCCAGCCTCCGCGTACGCAAGAGGGGCTACGGCGAGGACCTACCTCAGATTGGTCTGCGATTAGTTGTTTTCGATTGCGGTAATGTGACCTGGGCTGGTGTCAAGGAGGTGCTTTCAAGCAACGCCTTCATCCCACGGTCTCGCAAACCCCCTCAGACTATCTCGGTTGTGGCACAGACGGTAGATTCAGGCCAGGTGCCCGGATCCCCAGCCATGATCACATCTTCCATCACGCCTCCTCCCCCTCCCCCTGTGTATCCGAATGAGATCATCCACCTCAAGTGTTTCTATGGTTGGCAAATGACCGTGAATGAACACAACAAGCGAGTTCTCCGCGGTGATCTTGCAGCAGCGAACCGACTCGATCGCAAATGGGCCGAATACATGATCGCGACCGAAGAAGCGGGGACCGGCGGCTCCGGAACGCGCAGGAGACGACGCAGAGCCCGCGAGGCGGAACGAATTTACAATGAAGTCGACGAAGAGACCGCCGCATATGGGGTCGGGGGCATTTCAGCTCTGGGAGCAGGACGTCGTCGCCACACGGACAGCAACACTGGCTGCACAGTCATGTGAAAAGGTTCGCTGGCATACACTTCTTCAATTCTGGACACTCGTTTTGCAACCGTGCAATCTTCAGCGAGCTCACGCCCCGGAGGGGTTTTACTTTTTCTTATAGGTTCTGGCAACCTTTTGTTCTCGGTGTGTGTCAGTATTTGAGCGTCCTAGTGTCCGAAACGGAGAATGGGGTAGCAGGGTATTGGTCATGCTAGGGCGTTTGCAAGCATCTTTCGCATCGGGCGAGCATGCTACTACGATATACGAACTTGATGAGCCAGTACAATCCGCTTTGCACCGGATGGGGCCGTTGGGGGTTGTTTTGTTCGCATTGCCTCTTTTTTTTCTACCTTCTTCACTGATATCGTTCCCTTTGCGCTGGATTGGGCGTTCTTGTGTCGGGAGTTAGGACTGGTGTTGCAAATGTTGTACTGCGTCGCACACTGGCTTTCTCTCGAATGTTGATAGACGGAGGACGGAGATTACTGGAGTTCGACTGGGATGGTTTATTTGTCGATCATTTAGCAAGGAAGATTGGACATTTCCTCGATCTCGAATTGATCGTATATTCGTAGGATTCTCTGAGTATCAATGTAGGGCATTGGGGATCTCAGTAAGTTGGTATCCCATAAGTGGTTCTTCGTGTCTGATGGTACTTGGTGCTGAGGCATGTCTGATTAGTGAGAAGCTCAACGGGGGCTATACGAACTACAGTGGAACAGGTTATGGCCTCCCACCCCTTTAGTTAGTGATGCGAATTCGTAACAGATATAATTTGGGTATCGTATTTTGACGAGGTATGAAATAGTTCGTCAAGTATGAGATAAAGAAGTAGCCCAAGAAAGAATAAAGAGAGGGGGAAAAAAGACCAACTCCTGCAAATGCATCATCACGCTGACAACCAGAAGCCACTCGATCACATTTCAAAGAATCCGCCGTCACTCTCATCCCCACTATCATTATTGCCGGCATCCGGCATCTCGTAGTCATCCTGCTTGGCGGCTGACTTTTTCTTGTGTTTCCGATCCTCGCTCTTGGCCCTTGCGCTCGACTTGTGCGAATCGGGGTGCTCGCGCGCGGTCTTCTTGTTCTTCTTCGACTCATCCGCCGCGCCGGCGTCTGCCACCTTGGATCGTTTGTCTTTGTTATTGTTCAGCTTGCCGTCCCGGAGAAGATCCAGGGTGCCGTTCTTCATGCACTGCTCCACCGTCTTCCACATAGCAGACGACCTCTCCGCTGCTCCTGCCGCATCCTCCTCCTCCTTCTGCTCTTTCTCCTCCTCCGCCTCAACAACCTGCCCATCCTCCACCTTCTTATTCTTCTTCACATCCGCATACAAAGCGATATACTTCTCCGTAAGCGGGTAATAGATCGTATAGTTCAGATTCACGCGCGCAACGTGCAGCTTCCTCGCCACGGACGCGAGCTTCTTCTCCCTCGCCGCGGCATCAATCCCAGCCGTATTCTCGGTAATTTCCTTCTCCTTCCGGGTGAGCCGGGCGATTTCCTTCGTAGCGGTCTTGCGTTCTACCCAACCCGAATGAATCATCAGTAATCTTCTTCCCGATATCCACGCAATGGAATCCAATTCCCGAGAGGGACGGGGCGGGGGAGCAAACATACCCAAGAATCGCACAAAATGATACTTCTTGATCAGCTTCGACCGTTCCCGGCTCTTGGTCTCTTCCTCGAGATCGCGCTCGTAGCCCAGCAGGGCGCGCTCCTGGGTGACGCGCACATCGGCGGGGAGGTCGGGCTTGGCGAGGAGGCGCTTGGCGGCGCGGATGCGTTTCTTGAGGTCGTTCACGGAGGTGAAATCGGGGTTTTTCTTGAGGAGGACTTTTTTGCGGGAGTGGGGATGGTGGCCGCTGTGGTGGCTGGGTTCGTCGAGGTTGTCGTCTGCGCCGCCGCTGTGTTTGCGTTTGTTGGGGCGGGGGTGGGGTTGGTATTCGCGGGGCATTGTGGTTGGATTTCTGTTTTCCTTGTGGGGGGAAAATTGGTGATGTTTGGAGTTGGTGTTGTGAAGGCGAAGAGGAATGGGTTCTGTTTTGAAAGTCGTTATAATCTGCAGTGCCAGCCCGTGATTTCCAGCTTGCAGAGAAAAAAATTACTCGATCGGGCGATTGATTTGATAGTATGTCCGGATCATCGGTCGGACCGAGCAGGTTTGCTCCGTAGCCAATCTTATGCGGTTTAGCGCCATGACGCGCCCATTCCATTAATCCAATCCATGGGCTGGAACTACTCGTACTCGGACGACTTTACTTTAATGACTGTACAGCTACACACTGTACTTGCATCGCGACCCTGCAATTCTTACCACTGCTGCCTGCAGATTGCGCAGTAGGCTTGCGCATTGCTGTCTCTGGGGCAAGTAGGATTGTCAGTCAGGCCGATTCACACACACTCCGCTCTCCATGGGCTACTACATCTAGACCCCTGGACCCCTGGCCTTCACCTCCAACCATTCCACTTGTGGATTGCCGTTGACGCATCAGATTTGGCTTGCCGGTTTCAGCAGGATTGCTTCAACACTTCGCCATCCTAACCCACCAGGCGGGAGTAAAGCCAGTCTAGATCATCGGTGATCAGTCTCATCGGCCAACCGGACTTTCATCGGCTTAGCTAGCTGTCAAGCAGCCCCACGCCTGCTCTTCCAAAAGGGGAGGGGGTAAGTGGTGTCGCGAGTGGAGGACCTGCCCGGGCACCGCAGCAATGGAGACGGCCATTCGGTGGTCGCCGGCCTCGACGACCAGCGAGCAGCGCTTCCTGTCCGTGGACGTGGTGAACAAGGCCTTCCGCCTGTGTCGTGTGACGGCGTTCGACGGCCACCGCCGCCTCGAGCATGAGGTCCTGTCGACGCACACCAAGGTGCCCGCCTTCCGGGCCTTCGACTGGTCGCCCATGGACGAGTCCCTGGTCGCCGTGGGCCAGTCCTCGGGCGACGCGACCATCCTGCGCATGGCCGGCGACGTCCAGGAGTCCTTCTCCTTCCCCATCCGCCACCAGCGCTACTGCAATGCCGTCGCCTTCAGCACGCACGGCTTGCTGGCCGCCGGCCTGGACCGCGTCCGCAATGACTTCTGCCTCAACATCTGGGACGTCAACCAGCGCCTGACCATGAAGGCCCCCGCCACCAAGGGGTTCGTCGAGCCCCTGCGCAAGTTGGCCAGCTCCGAGCCCATCACCAGTATCAAATTCTTCAGGGATCAGCCCGATACCTTGGTCACCGGCGTGAAAGGGCAGTTTGTGAGGATCTATGATCTTCGAGGTGGGTTTCTGTTTTTTGTCTTTTGTTTTTTTTTTTTTTACTTTGGCTATCCTTTTAAGCTTCGGTGGGGCCTTTAGAGCTGATTTTGTTCTCACACAAAGAGGGTCCTGGAAACCCGTCATTACAGTTCCCCACGCGCTGCGTTCATAATCTGGCTATCAATTGGCTGGATGAGAACTATATCGCCTCGTGTCAGGGGACGAATGATCCTGTGATTTGTGTCTGGGATCGGCGCATCGGTTCGCGCTTTATCACCCCCGCAGTGGGGGCGGCCACCCCTCTCGAGGCCGGCCAGGCTGGCCCGGCGCTGGAGTTCAAGAACGTTGTCGCTCCCAAGTCGAGCATCTGGAGTCTACGCTTCTCGCGTACCAAGCGGGGCTGCCTGGCGGCCTTGGCCAACACGGGACATCTCAAGACCTATGACATAGCCAAGGAATACCTGGCGGAAGATATGCGGTCCTCGGTGGACGAGACGCTGGGGCATGGCTCGGCCCGCAACTATCCGGAGCAGATTTATACCAAGTATGAGCGCGACATCGTCGGTCCCTTCAACCACCCTTCCCGTGGCTATGCCGAGGAGGACAGAGTCGTGGCCTTTGACTTCCTCAACATGAGCTCCGGCAACGAGCCCAGTGCGATCACTATGAACGGTACCGGGCAGATCAGCATTTTCACGTCCAAACCTCCCTCGCCTCCTGTACGGCTCTCGTCACAAGGCTCCCTGATATGGGGTTCCTCGGATGATGACTCCGACTTTAAAGTGATCAGCCCCCCGTCCAACCCGGAGACTGGCATAGCGGAGATTGTGCGCGATGTACGGGACCGGGTGTCGGCGCAGACTGGGACGCCAGAGCACGGATCAGAAAGTCCTCTTTCAAGCCGAAAGGCCCGAGAGCGTGCTATCTCGCTCGGAACAGCAGGCGACCCTCTTGCCGTGGAAGATGCATTGACATTACTGTCCATCAGCAGACTCCGATGCAAGGAGGGCTATCTTTTTGATGAAACCCGGAACAAGAAGATATTGGCAGATGACCCCTGGCTTCAGGGATTCTGGGACTGGGTTGAACGTATGTTCTACGCTGCTCGGCGGTGTTGTAGCCCTGCTAATTTGACCAGGTGCGCGGTCTGCCTCATCCAATGAATCGATGATCATCAACGGATTGGATCTGAACTACTTGGGGGTCTACGACGTGTGGAACGGTGATTTGGGTAAGAAAGCTTTGAGTGGGTCAGGACAGTACTAACACTGGGTAGTGGAGAGCCTGGAAGCACGGCGCGTGAGCTCGGATCCACCGCCCGACATCAACGAGACGATTGTCCACCTGGTTCGCGAGCAGCTGAATTTACCAGAAACCAAGGGCTGCGAGACAGACTATGCAGAACACCGACGACTGTGTCTACGAATCTGCGGCGCCGCGCAATCATACCGTGAATTAGAAGAGCTGGTGAAGAACCTGTCGGCAGATAAGCAGCACACCAAGGCCGCCGCGTTGGCCATCTTCCAGGACGAACCCAAGCTAGCCTACCTAGCGTTACGAAGCCATGAGCCAGCCCAAGCGCACAAGCTTCTCGCCATGGCCATTGCCGGCGCTGCGAAAGGCGACACCGACCCGGACTGGGAGGAAACCTGCGCCGAAATCGCCAAGGAGCTGACGGACCCGTACGCGAGGGCTATCCTGGCGCTGGTCAGCCGCGGGGACTGGAACTCGGTCATCCAAGAGACCACGCTTCCTCTGCGGTACCGCATCGAAGTCGCCCTGCGCTGGCTTCCGGACGACGACCTCACCACGTACCTGCACGAAGCGACGCAGGAAGTCATTCGACAGGGCGACATCGAGGGCGTCGTGCTCACGGGCCTCGGCCACTCGGCCATGGACCTGTTCCAGTCCTACATCAACAAGTTTCACGACATCCAGACCGCGGTGCTCGCGATGAGCCACACGGTGCCGCGGTTCATCAACCACCCGCCGTACCGCACCCGGTTCCAGGCCTGGCGCGAGACCTACCGGTGGCAGATCAACAGCTGGAAGCTGCAGCTGGAACGGGCCCGGTTCGACGTCGGCTCGCGCAAGTTCGCCGTGACCTGGGACGGCCGCAAGCTGATGGACCCGCCGCGCCAGCAGATCAGCCTCACCTGCAACTACTGCACGCGGCCGCTCACGCAGCACGACGCCTCGTCGCAGCTCACGCCGGCCGCCACGGGCGAGGTGGTGCACCCGACGGCCGGCAACCCGCTGGGGACGGCCGCCATGTCCGGCACCGTCTGCCCCCGGTGCGGTCGCCATATGCCGCGCTGCGGCGTCTGCACGCTCTGGTTGGGGTCCCCGGATCCCATGTCCAAGGCGTACGTGGCGGCCGATGCGGGCGGCGCGGAGAACCGACGGCCGAGCGAGTCGGAGCTGATGCGCCGGTTCATTGTGTTCTGCATCAATTGCAACCATGGCTTCCACGCCCACCATGCGCGCGAGTGGTTTGCGAAGCACAAGGTCTGTCCGGTGGCGGAGTGTAGCTGTATTTGTGATCGATGACCTGGGAGGGATGACTTGCAAGGAGGTGAGGGATGTGATCTGTGATATACCCATTTTAGCATCGTCAATGGTAATAGCGATAGACCAGAGCCAGAAAGATTAAGTGGTTGTAGAGCTAGACCGGACGGTTACCGTCCATGCGCAAAAAGTGGGCCGGCGGACCTCCCGCCGATGATGTCAAATTCTCCGGGGAAAGAAAAAGTTTCCCTTGCCAGCAGCAATTCAATTTCGACCCATTCTTGTAACTTGAAGCATCAGTAAGGTTGGGGTCTATCTTGCTTGGAGCAGGTAAATTCAAGCAATCCGACCGGGTAGACCTGCATAGCACGATTCGTGGAGCAAGCGACTAGCGACTTGCACTTGCTCACGCGTGCATTTCAACCCTCACCACGACTGTGACTCCTCGGACAAAAAGATAGCAAGTGCGCACCTTCAACAGCGACTCAACCCCCTTTCCACCCCGCATGAGCAGTCGCTCCATCCTCCTTCTCGGAAGTCCTGTCCCGACTACATTCACTCGAAAATATCGATCCGCAAATCATAGCTCTCCTCTTCGCCTCGAGTCTCGCAACGCGTTGCCCCGAGTCAGCCGCTTTCCATCCCCCCTTCAGCAGGCGTACACCACAACTACAGCGACGGCGACAGCTCCAATCCCAAGACCAAGACTAAGACCGAATCCCAGAACAACCCCCGAAATAATGTCAACCCACGAAACCCCACCCAACGCTCCGACAGCGACCCAACCTCCCCAAAAGGACAACCGCAAAGACAAAAAAGGCGGCCGCGGAGGCGGCGGAGGAGGAGGAGGAGGCAAACCGCGCCACGAGGACCCCAAAACCAGCCGCCAGGTCACCGTCTCCAAAGCGATGTCGTTCATCCTGCGACATGCGGCCGAAAAGGAAGGATTGAAGATGGATGCGCAGGGGTATGCGAGCGTAGGGGATTTGGTATGTTTGCTTGCCCTTCCTCACCTCTCTAGATTGTTTCGATCTGGGGCGGGCAAATCGCGTCGCTGGGATTTCTTTTAATCTGATTTACACACAAAAAAAGATGATGCGAAAGCTAACCACTGCCTGATGAAAACGACAGCTCGCCTGGCGCAAGCTCAAATCCCTGAAAGTCACCTTCCCGGAGATCGTGGATGCGGTCGCCAGTTCGGACAAGAAGCGGTTTGGGCTGTTGTATCTCCCTCCTTCTACGTCTACAGCCACCTCTACGGCGGAGCCTACGTCTACAACCACCGCCGAAAAAGCAGGCGACACAACCAGCCCGCAAACCACAACCAACGACACCACCGAAACCGCAACAGCCACCGCCCTCGCGGCCGCCACGACCGACCAAGACCCGACCCACTACCTCATCCGCGCGACGCAGGGCCACAGCATCAAGACCGTCGAGGCCGCGGGCCTTTTGGAGAGGCTGACGCCAACAACCTCCAACCTCCCGTCGACGGTCGTCCACGGGACGTTCCACGGGGCGTGGCCGTTGATCCTGGAGTCCGGGGGCCTGCGGTGCATGGGCCGGAATCAGGTGCATTTTGCGACGGGGCCGGAGCGGGAGCTTGTGTTGGCGAGGTCGCAGCTGCCGCTGCAGCAGCAGCAGGAAGAAGGGCCGGTCGGCGGGCAAGGGCAGGTGATCTCGGGGATGCGGCGGGATGCGCAGGTGTTGATCTATATCGATCTGGTGAAGGCGCTGCAGCTGGGGTGTCCGTTCTGGCGCAGTGAGAACGGGGTCATTCTGAGTGAGGGGATCGAGGGGATGGTGCCGTTGGAGGTGGTCGATGCCGTGGTCGAGCGGCGGCTGGGCACGATCTGGGAGCGCGGGGCGGTCGTGCAGCAGTGGCCGGCGGAGTGGAGTCAACGCCGGAATCCTAAGGGGAAGGGGCAGGGGAAGAAGTCCGACGGAAGGTAGTTTTTTTGGTGTAGATAATTGAATTGGACACCTTGACTTAGTACCGTTAGTACCGTATGAACATATTGAGAGTAGACTTACGGTAGACATCGGAAGTTCAACTGCGGGGGAAACTTATCGGAAGAGAGAATCCGAAGGAACAAGAGGCGGGGTTCCTTCCGCTTCCGAAGCCAATCACCCTCCCTCGCCAACAAATCCGGGGCCGCCGAAAGGAAAGCTGACCATCACATTGATAGGCAAGAAGTATATAATCGGAGCTGGGCTCTCAATCACCTACTTTCTCCTGTTACTATCCCACCCTATACCCCAGAAGCAGACAGAGCAAATCAAAATGTCCGCCCCCCACCGTTTCGACCCTAACTTCACCGACAATGTCATCAACGCGATGGGTCCCAAAACGACCCCGCGTTTCCGCCAACTCATGACCGGCCTCATCCGCCACGTCCACGACTTCGCCCGCGAGAACGAGGTCACTGTCGACGAGTGGATGGCGGCCGTCAAGTTCATGAACTGGGCCGGACAGATGAGCGACGACAAGCGGAATGAAGGACAGTTAGTTACCGACGTGATTGGATTGGAGTCGTAAGTCCCCCCCCTCTTTGCCTATAAACCCCCCTTAACCCTTTCCTCCCCCCCCCTAAAACCCTCCATACAAACCCCCCTTATCACAACCCCACCACTAACAAAACAACGACGAAAAGCCTCGTCGACGAAATAACCTACACCCTTGCTGCGGAAGCGCAGGACGCCCCCACCGCCACCGCGATCCTGGGCCCCTTCTTCCGGGCGGACACCCCGATCCGCGCCAACGGGGAGTCGATCGTGCGCACGCCCGCCCCCGGCGGCGAGATGGCCTACATGCACGGCCGCGTGGTCGACCACGCCACCAAGGCGCCGCTCGTCGACGCCACCGTCGAGGTCTGGCAGGCCAGCACCAACGGCTTGTACGAGCAGCAGGACCCCGAGCAGGAGGAGTTCAACCTGCGGGGGAAGTTCCGCACCGATGCGGAGGGCCGGTATGCGTTTTATTGTTTGCGGCCGACGCCGTATCCTGTGCCTGATGATGGTTCGTTCTACCTTTCTTAGTTTGGGGGGGGGGAGTGTGAGGGGGTATGGATGTCTATGTGCTAACTGATTTGGGTGGGGAGTAGGTCCCGCGGGGAAATTGCTGGAATTGATGGATCGTCATCCGTTCCGGCCGGCGCATATTCATATTATTGTATGGTTGACCCTCCCCCCTCCTCTACTCTACCCTATTCCCTGGGGAATTGGATTGTTGTTCCCCCGGAAAGCCAAACCAGAGCTAATCGCTTCGTGTGGCAGGCCACCTACGAAGGCTACAAACCCCTCACCACGCAGATCTTCGATCGCAAGGACCCCTACCTCACCAATGACTCGGTCTTCGCCGTCAAGGACTCCCTCATCGTGGACTTTGTCGAGCGCAAGGGCGACCCTCAAGCTGGTCTTGAGTTGCAGTATGATGTCAAGTTGGCGCCGGCGCCGGCGTCGGCGTCGAGCTAGACGGTTTCGATGCTTTGGAACGAAAAGGATATGTGGATACGTGGGTGTGGGTGTACTATGGTGACAAGGGGGGGGGGGTTTTCTGTATATATTGATTTGATGTGATACCGAACTATGTTATTCATTTCTATACTTCATCGTGTGACTGTTTCAGACGATCCTGAGCTCGGAGTTAAAGACATTCCTCAGTCTACTCCTTCGACCGAACCTCATCTCTCAAGTGCTTTCATTGTAGGATTGTCACCCATTTACGATAAACAAGTCTACCAACAAGACTACAAAGCAGCAGCAAACTCCCGAATCAGCCCGCCCACCTCCTCCGGCGCCTCGACGCAATGCCAATGTCCGATCTGCGCCAGAACCTCCATCTTCTTGCTCCCGCTCGACACGCGATCGAAAATATGCTGACACCCCTCCAGCGACGCTGACTTGTCCTCCTCGCCCGCGATCAGCAGGAACGGGGCCGAGATGGCCGCGTAGTCGATGGCGGGCGCTTTGGCGATCGCCTGGCAGAGCGCCGCGTAGCCCTTGGGGTTCTGTCCCAGGATCAACTCGCGGATCAGGGCTTTGGCGAGCGGCGAGCAGCGGGTGCCGGTGGCGCCGCTGGGGATGGTGTTGGCCATGGGCTCCATGCCCGCTTAGTTTGACAGTCAGCACATTCCCATATTCGAGTAGAGACCCGAGGAGGCTTACAGTTGGCAACCGTCTCGCTGCGCTGGTTCATGACCGAGGCCAATTTGTCGGATGGGTGGGTTGGTCCAATGGCTACGACGGCCTTCACGCGATCCGCATACTGCGCGCCCAGGAGCGTCACCACCAGTCCGCCCATCGAGTGGCCGACGACCACGGCCTGGGCCACCTTGAGCGCGTCCAGCACGCCGACCACGTCGGCGGCAATGGATTCGATGGACACCGGCTGGCCCGTGTAGGTCGAGCGGGCGGAGCCATAGGTGTCCAGGGTGATGCACCGGTGCTGCTTTTCGAGGTACGGCAGGATGGGGAAGTAGTAGTTCTGCGAGGAACCGAGTCCGTGGATGAAGATGAATGTTGAGCCGTTGGCGGGGGCGCCGTCCGGGTGGGAGTCGGCGTAGTATATCTCGTGGTTGTTGACGGTGACGGTAGGCATGGTGTCTTCCTTGTTGGTTTCTTGCGGCTGTCCGATGTTGAGCACTGATTTCTAGCAAAAGGAAAGGAAAGAGAGGGACCGCGTGATCGGAAGTTTGACAAGCAGAAAGCTCAACGAAGCTTGAGCGGGGTCGACGTCATGGCGTGGGCGGGGAACTTTTGCTCGCTCTCCTTTTTTTTTCTCCTCCCATTCAACGCTCCCGGGTGTGCCATTTCCTACTTTTTGCGGAAATCCTTTGTCTTCCGTTGTAGCCGTATATCCAGTCTTGTCGTGTCGTGTCGCCCCAATCATCCACCTGCTCCGAGTACCAAGTACCAAGTACCAGGCAAAAAGAATCCGTCGGATGATTTGGAGATGAGGAGGGTGGGCGGGGAACGCAAGCCGCTCAGCTTATCACCGCCCGACCCGACGAGGGGCTCCCGCCCAGGGCCGCCATCCGACGTGCGCGGATCGCCCGTCGGTTCGGAAGACGACATTGCATTAGTGCACAGTGTCCAATTTTAGTCAGTCAGTTATACTTCCTCACACAGCATCCAATGCAACCAATGCCTGTTCGAACTCCTCATCGGTGTCGAACTCGTGGCCCAATTGCTCCAACAAAATGGCCGTGTCGTCCTGAAATGAATCGCCTGCCGACGAGGCAGGTATAGCGCCTTGCACTGTCGGAGGCTCGGCGTGGGGTGTGTCCACATTGTCCGCGCTTTTAGTGTCTATCGCAATCGTGTTTATCGCATCGGCGTTGGCTGTATTGGTGCCTATCGCATTCGTCTTCAGCGCAATCGTGTCTATCGCATCGGCGCCCGCACCCAGGGTATCTCCAACATCCTTCGTGACCAACATATCGGCCGCGACGACCTCACTCTTTTTGATGATGTCCTCATTATCAAAGATAGAGCAATCAGAGAACTCGTCAACCTCCGCAAGGTCCTCCTCCTCCTCCCAGCCAAACTCATCATCAGTATCGGTAGTGTGATCCGCCGCAGCACCAACAGCGCGCGCAGCATCCTCACCCTTCTCAACCTGCACATCACCCTCCTCCTCCTCCTCCTCCTCCTCCTCCTCCCCCAGATTACCATGAACCACACCCTCCTCCGCATCCGTAACAGACCCACTCTCCCACCCCTCAAGATCAAACTCCTCAAACTTCGTACCCTCCCCCAGACTATCCCCATTATCATCATCACCACCCTCAACATCATCACCACCCACCTCCATATCCCCATCCACACCTCCATCCGCACCAGCACCAGCATCCACCCCCGCGCCGTCCAAAGGCGCTACCGCCCCCACCCCCGCAGGCTTCCGAATAAACCTCAACAACGAAGGCTGACTCGACGGCACGACGGGGGCATTCGGATCCGGCAAGCCCATGGAGCCGAGCCGCCGCCGCTCCTCGCGGTCGCGCGCCTCCTTCTCGGCCTTCTTTTTCTTGTTAGCGACGCGCTTGCGGTCGCGGTCGCGTAGCTGCTGCGCCCGGCGCTCGCGCTCCTGCTCGCGCTCGATGCGCGCGATCTGTGACGCCGTGAACTGGAACCGTTGATTGCTCCGCTGGTACCGGCGGCGTACCGTGCGGGATTTCTCGAGGATGATGCGTTTTTTGGCCGGGGAGGCGGAGGCGGAGGCCATGTTTGTTGACCCTCACTTGGGTCTCTCGGGGTGTCTGTCTGTTGGTTGGAGGGGATGGTGGTTGTGGTGGTTGTGGTGGGGGAGGACGGCGTAGGAGGGTAACGAAGGGCAGCGGCGGCGGAGATTAGACGGAGGTATGAGCGGGTTCGTTGGTTGTGGGAACGGGACTCCTGGTTCTTGGGGAGGGATCGGTGGGGATAGACATTTGAGATTTTGGGGGTTTTGGGGATGAAGATATGGGGGTGGTTTTGTTTGAATAAATGAGAGAAAGTGTGAGTAAGTGAATTTGTTGAGAATCACACCAGAAAAAAAAAGGTAAACAAAGATGAGTGAGTGATGCCACCCCGGGTAATTAATTGTTTGGAAGGAAACTATGGGGGGAAAGGCGAGGCGGAAGGCAAGCAAGCCGTTGCGGGGATACGTTATACCGAAGCGGGAGCATTGTTTAATCCGGGTAATTGCACTGTGGGTGCTGCCAACAACAACAGCGAACGTGACCAGGTTGATGGTTCATTCTCTCGAATCTAAGCGATTTAATATGTAACACTATCTGCAGATCTATGTGCTCAAGCACAATCCCCACCAGAACAGCATATGCTGCTTACCTCTTCTACAGCTTCGAATCCCGAGCAGGGTCCCAGCACACAGGCGCATGTTCATCCGTCTGCAGACGACGCATATCCTCCTGAGTCAACTCAAAATCAAAGACCTGCGTATTCTCTCTGATCCGGGACTCAGTCACCGACTTGGGCAACGGGACGTATCCCTACAACATCATACATTAGCCATCATCCAGATCTCTCCAAAAAAAGCTTCGCTCCAACAAACCTTCTGCAAACTCCATCGAACCAAAATCTGCGCTGGGGTCTTCTTATACTTCCTAGCCAAGCTCTGCAGCATTGGCTCGTCCATCCGCTTCGCCTGCACCAGCGGCGAATAAGCTTCGACGACGATGTCCCGCTGCTTCAGCCACGCCACGATGTCCTCCCGGGCGCACCAGGGATGGATCTCGTACTGGCCGACGGAGATCTGGCCCCCGACGCCGCTGGTCTGGATGTAGTGCTCCAGCTCCTCCAGGTGGCGGATCCCGTAGTTGGAGACACCAATGGAGCGGATCTTGCCGGTCTTCTGCGCTTCCACGAGGGCGCGCCACGCGCCGAGTCGACCTTCTTTCCCGCCGTAGGGCGCATGCAGCAGCATCCTGTGTGTGTGCGTGTGGCAGCGTTAGTCTCCTGGTAGTGAGCCCTCTAA